GAAATTTATCCAATTCTTCTAGGTCATCCAGTTTGTTAGCGTATAATTTTTTATAATAGTCTCTTATGATTCATTTTATTTTTTTTTAAAGACTTTATTTATTTATTTATTTTCCCCCAAAGCCCCAGTAGATAGTTGTATGTCATAGCTGCACATCCTTTCAGTTGCTGTACGTGGGACATGGCCTCAGCATGGCCGGAGAAGCGGTGCGTTGGTGCATGCCCGGGATCTGTTTCTAGAAATTTATCCAATTCTTCTAGGTTATCCAGTTTGTTAGTGTATAGTTTTTTATAATAGTCTCTTATGATTCGTTTTATTTTTGAGACATCCGTTGTAATGTCTACTCTTTCATTTCTGATTTTATTTATTCGCGTCTTCTCTCTTTTTTTCTTAGACTAGTTAAGGGTTTGTCAATTTTGTTTATCTTCTCAGAAAACCAATTCTTAGTTTTGTTGGTATTTCTATTCCCTGTTTGACTTATTTCTATTGTTTTTCTATTCCCTATTTGACTTATTTCTGCTCTAATCTTTATTATTTCCTTCCATTTGCTAAGTTTGGGTTTAGTTTGTTCTTCTCTTTCTAGTTCCTTGAGGTACAAAGTTAAGTTGTTTATTTGAGATCTTTCTTCTTTTGTAATGTGGATGTTCATCACTATAAACTTCTCTCTTGGTACTGCTTTTGCTCCATCTCATAAGTTTTGGTATTTTGTGGTTTCATTTTTGTTTGTCTCAAGATACTTTTTCAGTTCTCTTTTGACGTCCACTTTGACCCCATAGTTGTTCGAGAGTATGTTTTTTAGTTTCCACATGTTTGTGAATTTTTCAATTTTCTTGCTGTTATTGATTCCTAGTTTTATTTCACTGTGGTTGGAAAAGATACTTGGGATGATCTTGATCTTCTTCGAATTATTAAGACTGGTTTTGTGACATAACATGTGATATGTCCCGGAGAATGGACTTCATGTACTTGAGAAAAATGTGTACTCTTTTGCTGTTGGATGAAAAGTTCTATATATGTCCGTTAGGTCCATTTGGTCTATAGAGTTGTTCACGTCAAGTGTTTACTTATTGATTTTCTGTCTGGATGTTCTGTCTATTATTGTAAGTGGAGTATTGAAGCCCCCTACTATTATTGTATTGTTGTCAATTTCGTCCTACAGATTTCTTGCTATTTGCTTTATATATTTAGGTACTCTCATGTTGGGTGCATATATGTTTATAATTGTTATATTTTTCTGTTGAATTGACCCTTTTGTCATTATATAATATCTTTGTCTCTTGTGACTATTTTTAACTTAAAGCCTATTTGTCTGATGTAAGCATAGCCACACTTACTTTCCTTTGGTTACCATTTTCATGGAATATCATTTTTTATCCTTTCACTTTCAGCCTATGTGTATCTTTAAATCAAAATTAATCTCTTGTAGAAAACATATCACTGGACCATATTTGATCCATTCTGCCACTCTATTCCTTTTGATTAGTGAGTTTAACCCATTTACATTTAAAGTAATTATTATATGAAGATTTACTATTGCTGTTTTGTTGTTTCTGTCTGTTTTGCTCTTGCTTTGTCTCTCTCTTCTTCTCTTGCTGCCTTCCTTTGCTATTTGATGACTTTTTTTTATAGTGATTTGTTTTGTTTATTTATTTATTTTTTTGTATCTATTATAGTTTTTTCTTTGTGGTTAGTTCAAGGCCTGCATAAAATATCTTGTAGTTATACCCATTTATTTTAACTTGATAACAACTTGGTTTCAACTGTATACAGAAATTTTATACTTTTACTCCCCTAACCCCACACTTTGTGTTCTTATAGTCAGAGTGATTCTTTTTATATTGTGTACCCATTAACAAATCTTTATCTTTTAACTTTTATATTAGGGTTAAATGTAACTTATGCACCACGATTGCAGTGTTACTTTATTTTGTATTTGTCTATATGGTTATCTTTACCAGTGAGATGTATGCTGTCATATACTTTTGCATTACCATTTAGCATGTTTTCATTTCAATTTGAAGAACTCCCTTAAGCATTTGCGTAAGGCAGGTCTAATGATGAATTATCTTAGTTTTTGTTTGTCTGGAAAAGACTTTTTCTCTCCTTTATTTTTAAAGGATAATTATGCCAAGTATAGTATTCGTGGTTGGCAGGTTTTTTTTTTTTTTCAGTGCTTTGACTATATCATTTCACTCTCTCCTATCTTGTGAGGTTTATGCTGAGAAATCTGCTGATAGTCTTATAAGGGTTCCCTTACTTATGACTAGTCACTTTTCTCCTACTGCTTTCAAAATTCTCTCTTTCTCAGTTGACTTTTGACAATTTGATTATAATGTGTCTCAGTGTAGTCTTCTTTGGGTAGATCCTGCTTGAGAACTTTTGAGTTTCATTAATCTGGATGTCCATTTCCTTCCCAAGACTTAGAAAGTTATTTTACCATTATTTCTCTAAATAAACTTTCTTCCCCATCCCCTGTCTTCTCTTCTGGGATTCCCATAATGCATATATTAGTTCCTTGATGATATCCCACAAATCCCATAGGCTTTCTTCACCCTTTTTCATCCTATTTTCTTTTTTCTCCTTTAACTGGACAATTTCAAAAGACCCATCCTCAAGTTCACAGATTCTCTGTTCAAGCAAGTCTGCTGTTGGAGCTCTCTGTTGTATTTTTCATTTTATTCATTGTATTCTTAGGTCCACTATTTCTATTTGATTCTTTTTCCTGATTTCTATCTCTTTGTTGAACTTCTCTTTTGGTTCATGCAATTTTTTTTATGTCATTGAGTTGTCTATCTATGTTCTCTTGTAGCTTGCTGAGCTTCTTTAAAACAATTATTTTGAATTTTTTTAGGCAGTTTATAGATCTTTATTTCTTTGCGATCAGTTACTGAAAATTTATGGTATTCTTTTGGTGGTGTGATCTTTCCTTGATTTTTCATGTTCCTCGTACATTACATTGATGTCTGCACATGTGAAGGAGCAGTCACCTCTTCCAGACTTTATGAATTGGCTTCAGTGGGAAAAGACCATCTCCTATGAGTGGATGTGAGGATGCTGGCTAGGTGGGGTGCAGTGGCTCTGGCTCTGGAGGAGCACAGTGGTATGGACTTCAGGCAGTTCTGTCAGTTGAGATCAGCATTGGCAAAGATTGCAGGCATCCTTGGCACCAAGACTGCAGGTGTCTGTTGCAACAGCAAGGCCTGCTGTAGTCTTCAATGGCAAAGGCTGCTGGGCTCTTCCTGCTTTCCTTTTACCACATAGGAGAAGTCTTTGCCAAGAAGATTCCTCTTGGTGCTGGGATCTGGGGAGTAGGCATAGTGGCACTGGGACAGAGGGTGTAGTGGCTTGAGCCCCAAGGGGAGTGGTGTAGTAGCTCCTGCTCCAAGGAGGCACAGCAGCGTGGACTCCAGGCAGCTGTGTCAGCTAGAGTCAGTTTTGGCAAAAACTGTAGAGATCTACAGACTGCTGCAGCTGTCTATAGCAGTGGTGAGGGCTGCTGGGGTCCTCCTGCTCTCCTTTCCCCCACAAAGGGAGGTCATAGTTAAGGGGAACCCTCTTGGTGTGGAGCTGTGCTAGAATGGAGGATAGAATGACACACATAAAATGCTACCTGTGGTTTTCTATGTGGCCTTCTTGGTTTTTGTGCTCCACCGAGTTGCTGCAGCTTCATTGTACTCCAAAGCAGAGATATTTTTATCAGCTGGTAATTGTTAATTTGTTGTTTTTGTGGAGGGATAAGGGCTGAGACCTCCTAGTCTTCCATCTTGCTGATGTTTCTCACTTTAAGTTTAAAACATAAATTTTGCCATAAGTCGTCATCAAGTCGATGTAAAAAATGACATCATTTGATCAATCATACTATACCTCTAACTTTATTTCCAAATCCCCATTTCATCCAGGTTGTCTTCCCAAAACTCTATGGAGGCTATTCTCACATCTACACAATCTCCTTAAAACCAGTGTGTCCAAAAAGAGAAGTTATGATCTTCTCCCTCAAACCTGTTCTTCTTCCAGAATTCTAGAGCTTAGTAAATAGCTTTCTCATCTACCCAGATGAGCATATCAGGGGTCATCCTTGACTCTTCCCCCTCTCTAATGCCCCAACTCCAATAAAATATCAAGTCTTGTACATTTTACCTTTTATATATCTCTTGAACCCATCTCCACTGCCACTGCCCTCATCTAGGACTCCTTTACCTCTCACTTGGACTATAGAACAACCTCCTAATTTGCCCCATGTCTCCATTCCTGCCTCTCTTCAGGTCATTCCTTCCATGGCAGCATAAGTGATCTTTGCAAAATTCATCTGATCCTGTTCCTTTCTTGACTGTTAGAGTAAAGTTCCAAATCCTGATGGCTTAGGAAGCCCCATGGCCTACCCCTGCCTACTCCTCTGGCATCCTTTATTGCCGCTCCACTCCACGGTAGCTCTCTCCACTCCAACCACACAACATATCTTTCAGTTCCTCAAACATCCATGCCACTTCCCACCTCTGGGCTTTTGCACAAGCTGTCCCCCTGCCTCACATGCCATCGCTCTTTTTCCACTCAGCTAACTCCTGTTCAATCCTTCAGGGTGCAGCTTAAAGGACACTTTCTCAGGGAAGCCTGCTTAAGTTTCTAGAATAGGTTAATCTGCCATGTGCTTCCACAGCACTCTGCAATTTCTCCATTGTTGAGTTTAGTTATCACAATTATTTGTTTAATGTTTGTCTTCCATACTAGAATGCATGTTCCATGAGGACATTACTGTATCCATATCACTCGTGGCTGTATGTCCAGTGCCTTGCCAATGCCCAACACATAGCCAAGTCTCAATAAATAGTTGCTGACTGGGTGACTGAAACACAGCTCCTCCTCATTAAGTATTCATTTTCAATGTGCAGCTATAACATAAATACTTAACAGTTCATCGTATTTGTGCTTTTCTTAAGCACTTTGACCTTTATTTTCTATTTTACAAAGCTTTTTATGTATATACTATGCTGCCCTCTTCCTCTTTTCCCTCTTTCCAGTAACATGTCACAAATTTATGTATTTGTATTGGGTGAGGCCCAGGTAATCTCCCTGTTTATAACTCTAACCTTTCGATGAGCAAACACACAATGTGAACTTTGGTTTATCTCCTACCATAATGTAGCTGTTAATTGCTGGCAGGCAGGCTGTATTCTGCGGTCCACGTGACCAGTGGGGCATGACCAGAAAGGAGCGTGGGGAAGAGTGGACCAAGGGACCCAGCTAGAGGCTGTGCAACTGAAGCTCCTGCCTCCCTAAAAGGCCAGAGTAAAGCAAGTGAGCACAAGGAGTATGGTTCTGAGGTAAGCGAGGTCATGAAGACGCCAAGGTTGGGCTTGGTTTTGTGGTCACTGCTCCTCCATCCAGGCCTGATGCTCTGGGCCTCCCAGGTGAGTCAGAACTGCAAGGATGGCAACTACGAGATCAGTGTCCTGATGGTGAACAACTCGGCCTTCCCAGAGTCCCTGGATAACTTGAAAGAAGCAGTGGATGAGGGGATAAAAATAGTGAGATGGCGCCTGCATGAAGCTGGTAAGAATATAGTAACAGAATCCTCCTCCTCCCTGTTACCACCTCTGGGGTCAAAGCGTTGCTAAACGAAGACCTTGTGTTCTTTGCCTGATCACTCAACCTTCTCTGTGGGCCTGTCCTACGACCTCTTTCTATTTCAAGGCAGTGGGTCCTAAGGGAGAAGGATTTGAGCCCCATAGCAGTGAGTTCACCCTGTTCTGGGAATAGCCCTGACCCGGGAATCCCAGGTGTTCACAGCAGTGAAATGCTCCAGATAAAACTGGATTTCTTGCTCAATTTCAGGGAGGCGTCATGTTTCCTTCTGCAGCTGCTCAGAGGTAGGATTTGATCTGGACCTGAGAATTCACAGGGTTACCAGTCAAGAGGATTGATTAAGAGAGTAAAATTCATACAGATGCTGAATCTTTCTCTGGGATTTTTAATCCATCTGTTCACTCTTTACATCTCTGGTTGCTATTATTGTAAGACACAGTCAATATAATAAATTTGCAAGCAAATTTAGTGTTACAGTTCTTCATTGTATCTTTTAATTGTTAAAATAAACTTTATGACCTAAGGTAAAATATGTAGAATAAGGAGAAGAAAATCACTGCTGATAATTTCCAGCTACCGGGATGTTTCCAGTGTCTTTTCATATGCTTCTCAGTTTCTTGTTTTTAAGAACATGGTTGGGATCTCTATGACATAGAAACAATTTTCTATTCTTCTGATTTCACGTCACGTTATTCTACAAGTGACTTTCCTATAGCCGCATAATCTTCATAGCATCATATGAATAGATGTATAATATTCCTTGGAGTAAATATCCTCCCAAATCATCTAATAATTCCCTATTCTAGGATATTCCATTGTTTTAAATTTCTCATAATCATTTTAAAAACACCACAAAACCAGTTTCATATGTATAGTTTTTTTTTCATTCTTTGAGACTAGATTGCCAGAAGTATAATTACTGAGTCAATGACTATTTCTCTTAATGGTTGTTTATGGCTCTGAGGAGGGTATGTCTTAATTTTCTGTACTTAAAATTCTATGGTAATAATAGCAACAGGTATCTTACATCACATATGTGTAGTAACTTTCTTCTGTGAAATAGACATTTCTTTAATCTGAGACTGGGTTCAGATGTGAATAGATGGATCTGATCTAGAGCTGTAATGGAACTAAGAGGCCATTTAATAAAATCCCCTTATTTATGCAGGCAGTGTAGTATAATGGAAAGAACATTTGATTTAAAGTCTGAGGACCTGGATTGGAGTCCCTGCCCTAGAGCCTTCTCTCTTTGTGAGCCTGAGTGAGCTCTTTCCCATAGTGTCTCAAAGCCTTGGTTCCTTGTTTATTGAGTACCTGTCATGTGCTAAGTAAGATATATAATCTCTTTAATCACCACAGCTCTGTGAGATTGGCATTGTTGACACTGTTTCACAGCAGAGGTTTAATAACTTTGCCAAAGTTATAAAGGTTGTCTGTTTGAAATGAAATTCAAACTCATAATTATCTGATTCCAAAGAGGGTATCATATTGCTGTTGTAAGATCTTTACCCACCATGAACTCACTTTCTCATTAAAATAAGGCAATGGAACGTTGTGGTAGAAGCAGAGATTTGGAATCAGACAGATCTTGGTTTATATTCCAGCCTGTTATCCAACTATTATCCTGAGCAGTGACCTCGAGCAAGTTACTTAAATTTTCTGAGTTTCAGTTCCCTCACCTATAAAATCACAATATATAATAATTACCTCATGTGGGTATGGTGTGAATTAATTGAGGAAATTCATGTAAAGTACATAATACACTGACTGAAACATAGTAAGAGCTCAATACATGGCAGGTGTTTTTCTTGTTGTCGCTGTTGTTGTTGTTCTTGTTAAGGATGTTAATGTTGTGGTTGTTGCTGTGCTGTTGCTGCTGTTAGGAGAACAAGTTACCAGGCATATAAAATAAACAGTATATTGTATTGGTAAGATTTTGATTTCTGAATCCATATAACCTGAATTTGAATTTCTGCTCCATCATTTACTAATTGAGTGACATTGAGTGAATTATTTATTCCCTCTAAGTTTCACTCATCTCATTTGTGAAACAGAGTCATTAATGGTGAGGTTTTTGAATGGATTAAATGAGTGGAGAATTTTGAGGGGATGAAATAACAAACAATAATGCCCAGATTTTTGCAATTGGTGATGCATTTTGTTGGGTGGATGTTGATGTATAGTAAACTCGAGAAGTGCAGGTTGTGAGGGAAAGATAAGTTCATATTCTAAACATATTGAGCATTATTATTTGGGAAAAATTCTAAGACAATATATGTAAGGGCTAAGTTGAAGAAAATTAAGAGTTCAAATGTTGTGGGTGATGTCCAAATGGAAGAGATCAATATTTTCTCCTAGTACTTAGGAAACCTCTGTGGATTTTGAAGAATAGATAGGATTTGGTGGAAAACATGAAAAAAAGAGATTCCTTCAACCTTAGAACGTCACCCCCTCAAAGATGTATGTTCCACGGCTAAGCACACCCGGTCCATACCATCCCCATGTTCTCATGTGCTGAGTGGGTTCCTTTCCTAGACTCCAGCACCTATATCCAGATTCAATTTGGTCTAACCTCATCCTCAAAGCCTTAGATAAAAGAGAGAGGGTTCTGTATTTCTCAAACCAAAAAATAACAGTAGGTGGGAAAAGTGGTATTGATTTACATTTTTGCAAATCTTTAATGTCGAGCTTTATAGAAAATGGCTGGATTTTCATATGTGCTTCTGCATTTAATCTATTGCAGTAATACATATTATGTAGCTTCTGGAAAACTACTATATGCTCGTGAGAAAAGGAATGGAAAAAGCAAAAGATTTCTTAATATAATTATTATATAGAATAGTTTTGACCTCCTGGGCCTCCTGAGGTCTCAAGGTACCTCGGGAGTCTATGGCCCACACTGAGAATTGCTGTTCTACAGCATATCAGGTTCTAGAATCAGACTGCCCTATGTTCAAAACCCAGCTCCTCTTCTTGCCAGCTGTGTAAGCAAGTTAATCTACATCTCTAGACCTCCATTTCCTCATTTTAAATTAGGAAGATAAAATATTAATTAACTTCGTAGGTTCAAAGGAGGATTAAGTGAAAAAATGCATGCAAAAATCCATAGCCCAATGCTAGGCATATAGTAACAGAGATCATCCAGTTCTGTCTTGTCAATAAATGGATGAGGAACTGGGGCCCCAGAGGTGAAGTCACTTGTCCAACATCACACTCAATAGAGGTTGGTTCCCTTTCTCCCAGGCCTTGTGCGGGATTTATACTTGGGTTTTGCTGTGCCCATCATGGGTTGTGTGCAGCATAGGATTTTTATGTGGATCATCTTCAGTGTCCTTCCTGGTGGTAGGGGGTAGCAGAGCCCTCATAGGGACAAGACGTCGAGGGAAAGGAGCTAGTTTATACGTTAATAGCTGCAAGTTTGGCCTTCTTCCTTAAGGCCTGTTTTCATCACTTGACTGTACACTGGCCTCCCCTTCACTTCTCGACACCTCTTGCTGCTTTCCAAAACCTTCTCCAGCCTTATTTTGTACTACTCCCCACTTGCACTCTCCCATTCCACCAAGTCCACCACAGCCTCCCTCATACTATTCTCCTGGCTTCTATACCCTATATTCTCCCTCTTATAAGAATTAAATAAGATAAAAGGTGACAAGAGTAATATAAGAACTCAGAACTCAAATATTAGTACTGTGGCTGACACATAGCTACACTCAAGTGTTAATTGCTATTAAACCCATCACTGACCCCATATCTTCCATTAATTTTCTCTGAATAGTCTTATTACATTGACCTCTCCTATTTGGCAAGTCCTACCAAACAAAGTACTGCCATCTCCTATTTATATCTCTTCCTGAACAAAGTATCAGAATAAGTGTTCTTGAACTAACCAAAAAACAAAACAAAACAAAACAAAACCAAAACAAAACCAAAACAGAAAAGTAAGAGATAAAATGCTCCCTAGTTGGTAGATACATCTCTGAGGTGGCTGTAGAAATGCAAAGACTTCCGTTCTCTGAGAGAACAGGTCTCTATCTTTAAAAACATTCTTCTTTGGATGTTCAGAAGGACAATAGCTTCTGTTGTTGACATGCTTTACTCTTTTAAAGATATTAAAAAGTATTACATTTGACAAACCTGGTTTTAATCCCATTTTACATGTGAGTGAACCAAGTTAGAGAATTTAAAATGGCTTGTGCAAGAACACATAGAAAGTGTCTCATACTGCCAGACTAGCAACTGAGGTTTCCAGACTTCCTATATAAAGGTCTGGCAAAATTAAGGACGTCTCCGCTTAGGAATCAGACATTTGTCCTGAATATTTTTTATGGGAAGGAAACCAAAATGTAAGAGACAGAAGTTGGTCAAATGGTTCTGCTATCTCTTTATTCCCTTCCAAAATGTGGCACCTAGCAATGCCCAGGGATGTTACCATCAATGCTCTTGCCTTCATCTGAAGGTGGGAGTTCTACATTATCCAAAGATCCTGGGTCAGAATGGGCACAGCTCACTTTGGCTTTGGGGGCAGACCACAAGGGTGCCAACGTGCACCTTGGCAACAAACAGAGCTAGCACTGTGGGGACATGAAAGAACAGATATCTTAATGTCTATGTCTTGCTTTCCTAACACTCCCCAGACCCACATAGGAAACTTGCTGAGTCTAGAATTGTGAAAAGAGGATGAAGAGATCCATAAACCTAATGAAAATGTTCTAAAACTGAATTGTGGGATGGGTGCACAAATATACATATTTACCAAAAATCATTGAATTGTACACTTAAAATGGGTGATTCTTATGGTGGGTAAATTATACCTGAATAAAGCTGTTGAGAGAGAGACAGAGATAGAGAGAGGATAGAAGTGACAGGAGTAATATAAGAACTCAGAACTCAAATATTCCTAGACCTGGTAATGGATATTCTTTTTTTTCCCAGGATCAATTGGCAAAAGATAATCTCAGGGCTGGTATAAACTACTAAAAAATAACACTAGTTTTCTCTTTTCCCTCATTTCTGGATAACAGGCATAAATGTGACTGTGAATGCTTCCTTTATCTATTCGAATGGTTTGATTTATAAGTCAAGTGACTGTCGGACTAGCACCTGTGAAGGCCTCGACCTACTCAGGATAATTTCAGTAAGCATTTGCCTTTATAGATATAGCTCACACCCTCTTGGCACAGGAAGATCCCAGTGTGAAACTTGGGCACCTGTCCATGAGCATCTCTCATGTCACCTCAGCCGTGCTGCTGAGTGCTTTGGAGACAGGGTACTCTGACTTTATACCCATATATTTCCCAAATGACGAGGGCCCTCCAGGAATCTAGGAAAGCAGGGAGAACTTTAGCTGTGTACTGTCTGTACACTTTCAGTCATATGGAGGGGAATTATTTTGTTTTAAATCATCTTTAAAACTTTTTTAAAGTTTAAGTGTTGGTATTAATTGGCTTGCTGTTGTGTCCCTCAAGAAATACTTGAGATGACCTGCTAAAAAATATATTCCAAAGCCCCACACCAGAGATCTCTGTTCCAAGCCATCACCATCTATGCGGTCACAGGGTAATTGCTTAAGGGCTGAATCTGAAACCTAACTTTAAAAGTAACTGCAATGTCAAAGGCTAGAAATGGGAAATGAAGATTCTTGCCTAGAGCCCCCTCCCTACTCCCAACCCCAACCAGTGCGTTCATGGAGCTAAAGAGTGTTTCAAGCTCGCTAGAGGCAAATAGGTGTGCGAGATGCCCCTTTACCACAGAAACCTAGGAGAAGGCTCTCGAAGAAGTAGAGCACTGGTAGAGCCATAGAGCCACCATTCTAAAGCTTTAATCAATAACATCACACTGAGCATAAAGGCCACACTCATGTCAGGAAGAGTGGCTAATTACAGCTGTCATTCTCAATCTTGGGAGGGCAAAGAATGAGCAAGGGGAGTTTAATAAACTCCACTTTACCATACTAGGAGTGTGTGCTTCTTCCCTTTACCTCTAGAGAGGGAACTATAACCTAGGTCCCTAAAACCAGGGATGGGATGTTCCTAATCACGTGCCCCTTGAGACATAGTAGAAAATAAGATCTATAATCACCCAAGTGGTCACATTGCGTTTTGTTCTCTCTGAAACTTGCCCTCTCCCTCCAAGCACCTCCAAATCTAGTCTCTCCACAATCTGGCCTACAGATGTTGCTAATGGTACAGTTGGCCAGTCTTTCCTCCACCACTCGACAGCCTCCTCTTGGTAAAGAGGAGGCCCACAGTCAGTCAGCTCACCTTCAGTGGAGTATGATCCCCTGCCTCCTGCAGCATTTCCTCTCCCTCAGACCTCTTTACCCCTTAGCTGGCCCTTGCCCAGCCCAAGGCACCATACGTTGCTCCTTTCTGCTCTAAACGCCAACATCTCAAGAGGCCCATTTTCTAACCTTATGGGAGCCTTCCCTTGTCACTTCTTTTCTGTCCATTGATTCATTTTTTTAGTTTTAGGCATTAGTTTTTTGTTTTCTTTTCTCCTACAGAGGGAAGAACGGATGGGCTGTGTCCTCATGGGGCCCTCGTGTACATATTCTACCTTCCAGATGTAGTAAGTAGTTTGGTTTGTTGTTGTGTTAATTCCACTGTGAATTGAAGTCAGGACATGGTATCACTATTTAAATGGTTTATTAAACATCAGTCTAGTTGAGGCAACACAGTCAGGGGAGTGAGACCTAGTATTTTGCTGCCTCTCTCTAACTGTCATTCCCTCATCCAGATAATTCTACCTTTGCTCCATGGGGGGTGAATGACAGCAGCTGTTCAGGTTCAATTACTAACATCTGGGCTTGAGAGGCAGCATGGTATAGGTAAAAAGTTAGAATCCTGGCAGGAAACAGGGAAGACAGTGAACTTGGATAATTTGAAGGGTTTAATAAAGGAAATCTTCACAAAAGTATGGGCACAGTGTATGGAAACACAAAGGAAAATGCAGCCCCCAGGGCATCAGCAGGGATCAGTTCTATCCCTGGGTCTGAAAGAATAGGGAAAGGAGCAAGGCACTTATTTCATAGCATTATTTGAGGATTATATAAATAACATATTAAAGCACTTTGCACAGTGCCCTTATCAGCTTAGAAAAAAAAATTCCAATATATTCTAGATAAAAATATTTCTCTGGCTTTGGGAAAATCGCCCTCATCCCTTCCATTCATTTCACACAGCATAATTCTCATCACCACAAAACACTTTGTTCTTCCAGATTACACCTTCCCCTATAAAATCCCTCCCACATACCTTTCTTTCGCTATTCAATCTTCCCCTGAAGCAAGGATCACCCTTCATCTACACAGAGAAAACTATGCTGAGGGACCCCTTGCAATAGATTTTGGAGGGTAAACATTAGACTTCCAAAATTTCTGTTGTGAAGCCTACGTCCAACACCTCCCACCTAGCTGTACAACAGACTCAGATGTTCAGGGCACTGTATAACATAGACACACCACAGAAGCACTTTTTGAGCTCGTCTTCCATACCAAAATGCAGACAAATATGGAATCTTACTCTTCCCTGCACTCATTCCCACTTATTGATATTGCTGTAGTGTGCCCAGAAGGAAAGGAGGACTAGGAAAATTGATCACCATTTATGGGGACCTTTCATGTGCAAAGAAGCATTTTGGTTTTGTCAGAGGAGAGAGAATTAAATAAAACACAGCCCCTGTCCAGCCAAATAGAGAAGGTAACAAGGACACTGGTGACCAATACAAGGCAGAGTGAGATCAGTTCCATCACGAAAGTACAAACAAGATGCTGTGGGATGCACAGAGGAAGCAGTCACCTCTGGTTGGGAGAGTTAAGCCTCAGAAAGACTTCATGAAGAAAATGATATAAGAGTTGAGTGTTGAAGAATGGGTAAAATTTTAATGGGTAGAGATGAGGGGATAAGCATCCCATCCAGGCAGAGGGAGAAGCATGTGTAAAAGCAAAGAAGCAGGGAAGTGTAGAAAATTTGTGAAAGTCTGGAGTGCGAGAGGTGTATAGGGGAATAATAGAAATAAAACTAGAAAAATTAAGTAGGGCTATATTTTGGAGGTCATGAGTTCCAGGTGAGGGAAGTGTATTTAATTAGATTTGCATCAAAAACCACTCAAGTTGAGCAGGGAAGTGCCATAAGAAGCAGCCAACCTTGGGAAGAATAATGGACACCAGAGCATGAGAAGGACTGGTGCACACAAGGGGAGACTGATGACAGGAAATTCAGCAGGGGAGAAAGAAGGCCTGAATTAGCATGAAGGCAGTTGACATGGAAAGGGAGGACAGCTTTTGAAGATATTTAAAGGTAGAACCAATAGCATTTGACAACTGATTGGGATGTTGGGGTGAGGGATGGAAAGTAGTCAAGAAGGCTATGAGATCTCAAATCACTAAAAGAAATGGGAAACTCAGAATAAGGAACAGTTTTGAGAAATAAAAATAAAAGATAAATTTGACTGTGAACACGGGAAGCTTGAGATGCAAGCAGGACACCCAGGGAAACATTTCAGTGGAGCGCTGAAGCTGGAAGAGGGTGGTGTTTTTCTTCCTCCATCAAATACATATTGAGCGCCTGCATATGAACTAGGCAGACTGAAGATACTGAGGTGAGCAAGCCAGCCATGATCCCTGCCTTCATGGAGCTTGCAATCTAGAGGAGACAGATATTAAACAGATACTCACTCAAATAATAACCTGGCCTTAGGTATCAAGGAAAGTTTTCCTGATGGATAAAGAGATATTTAATCTAGGAACTGATGGATGAGTAAGAGTCAGCCAGGCAAAAAGGCAGAGGAACAGCATTCTTGGCATTCATCAAGGCCCTGCTGGAGAATAAAGCTTTATATGTTTAAGGAACTACAAGAAGTTTCCCATACTGAGCAGGGAAAGGAAAATTCTGGAAGCCTCAGCTGATGTCTGTCTCAAAGGTAGTCTATAGAAGAGCCAGAAATAAGGCAATGCATGGAGGGAAAAGCATAGAAGGCATCTTTTGGGCTTTACAACAATTGTGGTAGTTATGGTGGCCCATCCTCTATTTTCTTAGTCCTACTCCCCAAAGTCCATGTATCCCATCCTACATGTGATAACAACCCAAATGACAACTCATTTTAGAATAAATCAAAGTAACCAAGCCACATATGCATGAAAACACCTAGAATGTGCTTAGAACGCAGTACATGCTTGATAAATGTTTTAAAATTCACCTGTGTGGGAGGGATACCTGTATAAGTCAGAAACCTGCTTGAATGACCCTATTTCATTCTTACCTTTTATACCCACCTGCTGAAACAGGGTCTTATTTGTGCTACTTAAGTTAATCCTGATATTGGTTTCTTTTTTACCTCTTGGTGTAGCCTTGACACAGATTTGAACTATCCGATGATTTCAGCTGGAAGTTTTGGATTGTCATGTGACTACAAAGAAACTTTAACCAGGCTGATGTCTCCAGCTAGGAAGCTGATGTATTTCTTGGTTAATTTTTGGAAGGCCAATAATTTACCATTCAAAACTTTTTCCTGGAGCACTGCATATGTTTTCAAGAATAGTACCGAGTCTGAGGACTGTTTCTGGTAAGCAGGATCATTAATATTCTGTGGCACTTGCCATGGAGAGCAGTCATAGACTCATGGCAGGCTACTCGGTTATTATCAGATGCACCTTCCATCTGTAACAGCACTGGGAATGCACAGCAGCCCACCTTCTTACATACAAATGAAAGCAACGGGGCCAAGGAAACACAGTATCATCAATATCATCAGCATACATTGCATTTGCAACACTCTCTAATTGTGAAAGTACTTTCATGTTAGTTTTATTGTTTCTCCACAGTAAATCCTCTGAAGAAAAAGAACAAGTACTATGATCCCCATTTTACCAATAAGGAAAGTGAAAACCAGAAGTTAATGCTTTCCCATTACTGTGCAAGATATGATACCAGAGAATGTGCATTCTACCTATACCTACAATTAGAAGTAATTCTCTCACAGCTTTTCAGAGGAATAAGGTGGTGGCAGTGGGGAGAGCAGGACATCGGGCATCATTGCTAAAATAAAATGGCAGGATTCACTCAACTCCATCAAAGGTGGCAGAGAGAATCCTTTGGTTGGGTTACTGTCAGTGCCTCCAGGATGCTGCTCAGTTCTGCAGTCTTTCTCCACATAAACACGCAGAAGACTAAGATGGGGCACCACCGGGAATGCACATCTTAGGAACTGTAAGAATCAACCCTAAAGTCTCATCCTAGAAATTTTGGGGTGAACTTCGAACACACAAAAGTACATTTCACACAGGAAGAGAAATTATTCCTATCAACTCTCAATTTTTGCACTATAGATTCAAAGGTTTCAACTTATCTGTGATAATGGGGTTGGTTTATAGAGCAGAGTTGAAGATCCCATTTGCAAGTAGCAGGAAGCCATTATCAGGGACCCACTAAATGTCTACTATTTGTATATATACATGAAGAGTCCCTAAAACTTCCCCTCTGCTTTCACTAAATTAGATGTCCACAATCCTAACCATTAGTATCATGGTGTGTACCATCTATTGTGTTAGAAGCAGAAACGAATTTTAGATTAACAAGTCCCAGGACAGATCTGTGAACAATGGGCAAACGGCATGGAAGCCCATGCAGAAACTAAGCTGGTTTCTTAGAGTTTCTCTCTTTTCTGTTCTAGGTACCTCAATGCTCTGGAGGCCGGAGTTTCCTATTTTTCTCAGGAACTTGTCTTCAAGGAAGTGTTGAGAGGAGATGACCAGTTTCAGAATATCTTAATGAACCAGAACAGGAAAAGCAATGGTAAGAAGACATGAAGATAATTTTTTACCAACTTCTTCCTCACAACTACCACCTCCGTATGAATTATTTTGATAAATCTACCACCACAGAGCTATCACTGTTACCTCTATATGTTTTGTATGTTTTGGAAGATCTCTAGTTGCATGCAACTCCTTTATATTGTTCCTTTTGTTGATTAAAACCTTATCCTCTGAGAGAAATTAGAAAAGTAATGTTGAGAAACTGTATTAACGTCATGAAAGAAATGGTACTGTTAAAATACAGCTTTTATAATCCAAAATGATGTCACGACCCACCATCAATAAACTGCTTTGTAAGTTTACCTCAATCCAATATATTATTGGATTTGTGACTAATCCTCACACATTTTGAACCTTGATCCCCTGGTGACCAAGAGGATATATTTATTGATATCTGGCCTCAAGCAAAATAACAAGGTAAGCAAAGATTGTCTCACTTTCATTTAACCTCTCTGTAAATCACCTGCCCAGTGATCTCCCAGTTACAGGCCATGTGTGAAAAGCTGATGGGATAAAATCATCCTCGTTAAGTTATTAGATGATTTGTTTCTTTTTCCACGAAGTTCTGTTTACAAATAAGAGTATATCAGGAGCAAAGGAATCAACTGTGGGAATTTGCTACAAGGGAAGATGCTTGCTTGACACCAGGATTTCCTGGTATCACTCACATCATCTGCTGTCATTATTAAGCATTTGCAGAACCTACCCTTTGCAAAACGTTGACCAAGATATAGGAAAAAAAGTATAAAATTGTTCATGTCCCTAGAGAGTTTACCATTCAACTGGACAATATAGTTTAAAAAAAGAGCTGATAAAGTGTCCCCCAACTCCTCTTACTCATAAAGTCATGCATTTGGGAAATTTGGTTGCAATGAGTAGTACATCTTGTAGACTCAGATTGGACATGAACACTGAAATCAGTAAGACTGAGTTCTGAGTTAAGAAGCTATAAACAAAACCCAAAGAAAGTTGCTTAAATTCTTGCATTAACTTACACTATATCTTTTCCAACTACTTTACAAATGGTGAGGTGCACTTCACTTATCAATGAAAATAGTTTTTGTAACTGTTCCAGCCTGGTGTAGTGGAATAAGCACTGAACTATGACCCATAAACTTGAATATTGGAGCTATCTCTGTCATCTGCTAGTTCTTTAACCCTTTGACATCTTGGCTTCAGCCTCCTTAAGTCTATAAAATTAAGGGAATGGACTAGACGATTCTTTTCAAGATCCCATGCAGCTCTATTCTGACTCTATGACTGTAAATGAAAAAAAAAAATGAGGGGTTATCGTTTGAGGAATTGATGTTAATCTTAAAAAATAAATGTAGCATGGACGTACTGGGTTTAATTCAGGCACCTGGTTCCCTCCCTGTTTGTTTGTAGATCATTGTATCTTTCTCTCCTTGTCTTGCTTTTTCTCCTCCAGTGATTCTTGTATGTGGTGGACCAGAAGTCATCTACTCCCTCAAGGGTGACCGGGCAGTGGCGGAAGACATGGTCATTATTCTAGTGGATCTATTCAAGTAGGTATAATATTTAGAAGAACTCTGCTCCTTTCAGAAAGGAAATAGTCCAAGGATTTCCAGAAGACACACTCTCTTTTCTCTTGCTTTGCTCAGCCTTTAAGTGGTACAGTATAATGATAATATTTTAACCAATGTTTTATTCTTTCTTCATCACATTGTCATTCTTATTTAAGTAATTGTAGCCTTAGCAGAGATGTATACTTTTGACATCACTATCAAGTCTAAATACAAAAATTTTATGAAAACCCCATTAAATCCACATCCATTCATTTATGAGGCCTGCTCATTCAACACAAGATCCTGGTCTCCACCCTGATTTTGAGGTCTTTTTCCAGCAACGATAAATCAACTAATAACCCAATAATACTATTTCTGAGAATGTGGGCCATATCTGTGCCTTCAGTTGCTAAATGGCCTTTGGTCCTAGATTATTTTTCCTTCAGCTGCCTTTGGTAAGAGGAAAGTTCCAGTTAAATGAGTTTGATTTACACAGTTATTCTTTGTTCTCTGTGGCACAGTCACTGAGTGGTGATCTTTTCCTCTGCACTTCTCTGGGACTAAGGACAGAAAATCTGGAGAGCAGAAACCACCTTTTATCACACCCTGTCTTTTTACCACTCATCTTCTAATATGGCTGGAGACCCCACTAACAAACTGTGCCAAGGTAATGTTTGAGTTAGACTAAGCATAAAGAAGGTGTCACTGGTGTGCCTGTGCCCCTTGCCCCCATTTGCTAGATCACATGACTTCACTTATCCGCCTGGATCATTAATCATTACCTGTCTGTACTCAGACCAGAAGCTATTGCTGCACTAGATCTTTCCCATATTTACCTAGTCATTTCATCCACACTAGATGTACTTTTCACGGTGTTAAAGGAAATAATGCCTAGGAACTGCAGGCCTGTTCGACCACTAGTTGTTCATGAAGATAATTTAAGCAATCCACTTAGCCTTTTTAGCTGAAGAATACAGGAAAGAAGGCAAAGTTAGCGACATTTCATTCCTACAACCACAGTGATAACCGCTTTCAATAGCTGCTTTGCCCTCTGGAAGGAGTCCTCAATGTAGCCAGGTTGGCGTAATTTTACTTTTAGCAAATCCTCCATCAATTGCCAAAGCGCTGGCATTTCTTTGTCACCATTCCCGAAGGACACTTGGCTATGTTTTGGGAAGATCATGAGATTCATTTGAAACTAGATATAACGTGGTTTCAGATTCTAATTCTGACACTTCTGGTTCATTTGACTCTTGGGTATTACTTAGTATCTTGAGAAGAAATCTTCTCATTTGTGAAATGAAAATTAACATGTCCACTTTAGAGGGGTGTTTTTAGGATTGGACGTGATAGTATGAGCAAAATATTCAACACAGTCCTCAGTACACAGATGTGTTCACCTACTGTTTGAATATTAAATAATGGTCAGCCTAGATATAGCAGTTCAAGCACATCAGATTCTCTGCATATTAAAACATTCAAATGATAAGGAAGCTTAGAAACTATATAATTTGCAGCACAATCTCAGACACTATTGTGAGTCCACAGTGTGCCAAATATTGTCCAGGAGTTGAGGATCCAACGATCAAGAAGCTTATAGGGATAGAGAAAATATTGAGTCTTTTCATGCTTATGTTTCTTCATCTGAAAAGTAAATTTAATTCATAACATTTCTCTCTGTCATATACCAATATCTCTAAATTGTTATGAGCACTTAAGGAAAAGAAAGTTTCCAGGTATAAACCAAAGGTCATTCAGCCTTAAAAGCAAGTGCTAGCTCACATGTCCAGAGCCCAAAAAAATCTCCCTCAAAGAAGTATCTCTATTCTGATCTTCCTTTCC